ACCTCCAGTTCATCCTCCAAGGTGATTTTGCCTTATCAAAAAAACTTAATCCACTATAATCAAACTTGATTTCAACCACAAAGACTAATTGTCAATACCTTCTTGAGGAATTTTAAGTATACCCTAGTCTCTTAAGGAAATACAAGTCAAAAGTTGAGATGCAAAGTATGTTACAAGATGCTTCTAAAAAAGCAGATTACATAAATGAATTACAAATATTTTCACACAAAACTATTTTCTATGAAAGTGTATGAACAAAAGTTTCTTGTGTGTTTGTATTTCTTTCTCTCAAAATATTCACATTTTGCAATGTTTACATGATAGCTCTTTTTTTCAAATGTGTATCTAATCCATTCTTCCAAGACTCATTTATATAGGCGGTGAAAAGATTTGATAGATGGAAGAAATGAAATACACAAATGTAGGTGTATCCTGCATAACAGTCTGTGAAAATAGGAGACATAATGGTACAATAGTAAAGTCTTTTTCCCATGAAATAAGTATAGTGGAAGAAATATTGATCTTGTACTGTGTACTATTTTCTTACGTTAAACTTTTTGATCTTATCTTCAATTATTCAAACACTTCAGATAGATAGCTGATGAAGCATGCATAGAAGAAGAATCAGAGTCTGTGTGAGAGTTTTCAAAATTTTGTCTTCAAAGTCTTCAGAATCTTCAGAACCTTAGTCTTCAGAGTCTTTAAAATCTTGATCTTCAGAGTCTTCAGAATCTTGGTCATTAGAGTGTTAAGCGCAAGACTTCAAGACTTGACAACGTCAAAAGCGTTGAGAAACTTTGTATAACACACATCTCAGAGTCAGAGTTCACTAGGTTCAGAGTATGATGATGTCACACATCATTTTATCAGAGTTTGATGACGACGTCACACATTATTTTATCAGAGTCAGAACTTGTATTTAGTATCTGCATATTTAACAAAACCATTAGAGTACAAAATTGTTCTTTATGAATTTATGCATTGTTATTATTAAAACATAGAATCAAATGCAAAACCAAAATTTTTTCTAACAATTAGTTTGTGATGTATAGCAGTAAATAATTGTTTGATTTAACTAATACCGTAAACTTCGAACAAATATTAATAATGACAGGTAGTAAATTAGGTTAGAGTAAACTATACTAGAGGTATCTATAACTATATATAATCTATAACTATATATAAAGGGAATACACAATTTTGGTATGACCTATTTTCTATTCCATAATTACCCTTCACTTACTTCCTATTTTATAATTCCAATGATTAATTTAAGTAACTTCCACATACAATAACCACCTAAAGGTTATTGTGGAAAAGAGACCAGAGATATGTAATAACTATCTGAAAGTTATAACGAAGAGAGAAAAATATAACTTCATAAGAACATAAACTTCATAAAGCAAAACAAAAACTCAATGAATAATTTTCTCTCTAGATCAAATATACACGATTTTTTATAAATGAAAATTTATAAGAAATAACACTCATGTTGCCAAGGTTTATGGAACTGCCAATTCTTCTCTCATCTCTTCTTTTTCTTTTTCTTTTTTTTGTCTTTTATATTATGGTTGCAACTTCTATCATCAGTTTCATTCTTCTAATGTTAAAGTATATTAATTGATTGTTTTGATGTTGAAATTTGTACATGTTTGCACAATTTAGTTTTGAATATGTGTTATGTTTTTTGTTACTTTTAATTCATTGACTTATTCTTTTTATAATGTGAAATTTTTGTGGCAATGAACGCTACTCGAGAGAAAATTGTCTTTGTAGAGAAATTGCCTCAACAATCTTTTTTCAATTTGATTTTCTGTCTTTTTAATTTCATGGTAACAAAGTTATTATTATTGATTTATCATAAAAAATGAGAGAAAAAGAATAAAGTATAATTAAATGTTGAAACATAGGATGAAGATAAAAATGGACTTAAATTTTTTTTGGATTTTGAGTGAAATGAGAAGTCTTATATAAGGAGGAAGTGAGTGAAATGAAAAGTCTTATATAGGAGGAAGTGAGAGAGCATCTAGATCCAAAAAAATCATGTGAAATTGGAGAAAAAAACGGAGAAATTAACCTTAGGGTTTGGAAATGAATAATTAAAAATTAAGAAAAAAAGAAAGAAAGAAAGATGAATTTTGTTTTGCGTTGCTGTGTTGGTGTATAATTGACGAATGAATGTGATATGTATCCTTAAATGAATGGATAGTTTAAGTCTTAAGGATACTTTTAAAATTTGCTTTTATGTGTATTCAATTTCATGGTAGCAGAGGTATCATTAATGGTTTGTTAGTTTATTAATGAATATGATAAGGTGAATATACAAAGTATGAATTAGTGAACAATGATTTTGAAGTGACAACAACATAATGAAAATGCTACCACGTCTTTAAAACGAGCTAAGGTTACATTTCTATGGAAAAACCAAGGTTACAAGATGTTTTTTGAGAGGTTAATTGATTAGAAAGTTGAATGAAAAAGATAGATAGATAAATAGATTTTTTACGAACAAACAAACATAACAACACACATCACAAAGTTTATTACACAAATGATTTAAATTTAAATCAAAATTAATAAAAAATATCTGTTTAAAATTTAGACGTGTATGTTTATTAAAAAAAAGCGGACAAATAAGTACGAAAGTGTCCGTTTGGACGCTAATTATTAATAATGATATTTAATAAAAAAGTACTTTAATATTCTATTTAATTCTATTTATAAAAAAACTAATTTTTTAAATTTATTAAATAATTAATATGACGGAATAAATATATACTAATTATTTGACGAACATAAAAAAAAAAAAGAAAAAAAAAAGAAGGAGAAGTATATTTAGATGTTATAAAAGTGGTAAGTTGAATCACATTAACATTCAAACACACTAAATCAATATTTAACACTTTATAAGAAAAAAAGTGTTTGATATGAGAAGACACATAATCAGACGGGTTTGGTTACCACTTAATGTAATTTTTAAAATTAAACTCACCTAGTTAAATCCATAATTAATTTTGATTCAGTATGTTTCAATTCGAAACTCATCTGCACTTCCTCCAAGCATAAAAAACACACGTTTTAACTAGTTTATTTCAATTCAACAGTAATAAATATCTCAGTAATAAACCTAACTAAAAAATTACATCACTGAATTTATTGGTTAAATATATTTTTAGTACTGTGATTTTTACTTTTAATCTCTAAGTTTTATTTAAAAAATAATGATTTTCATAATATTTTTTATTTATATTTTTGATCCCTCTTATTAATACCCGTTAACAGAAACTGACGTGACACTCCACGTGAAAGTTTATTGATGACTGAACGCACACATAATAGTGTTAATATGATAAAGATACCAACGTGACATGTTATGTGACTAAGGTTAATATCATACTCGATTCCATAAAATTTTATAACTAATGGATAGTTAAAGCCGTAATTAATTTCTAATAATTTTTTTTAGGAGTTTCGGTTATAAAGAAATGCAAGTTGTTCAGTTAAAACAAGAACCAGTTCATTATCATGTTTTTTCCTGAAAAAAATGTTGTTTGTTCATGTTGATACATTTTATTATAATACCACCATTACTTACACTTATCACCATCATCAATTTGGCATGAAGCTAAATAAAAAGAAAGTTAAAACTCAGCTGAAATCTAACTTTCATAAACTTTAAAAAACGCTGACATCTAATTGTTTGGTTTTTGTAACCTTTGTTCTCACTATTGCAATTTGGCAATTTGGAAGCTACTTCTTATCTAACAATTCATTTGATAATTTAGTATTTCTAATCTTTTATATTATTCATTGTCGAGTATTTCTAATCTTTTGTAACTACTGTAAATAATATTTTACTTTCTAATGACTATTTTTTAAGGGTTTTATTTAAAAATTGAGTTTTGTGAAATCTAAATTATTTTTTAGACATATGAAGAACTATAACCCTGAACTATCATGTGCTACTGAAACTTTTCTTGCACAACTATTCACAGCAGTTTATAAGAAATTTTTAAAGTACTAAAAATGAAATTAAAATATTTAAAAGAAGAAAAAAACATATTTAATTCTAACTTATTTAATTTTTTTATGAGAACTATTTTGTATAATTACATACAATAGTTATAGATAGGGCTCACAATGAACCAAACCAACTCGAAGATAGTTCGGAATTCGACTCGACAATTAAATCGTTGAACTAAGTTCATGAACCAAATGAGTTGAGTATGAGCGAAAAATTAAGTTCGTTAACTAAATGAGCTGAACTTGAACTATACATAGTTCGACTCGTTAGGTTCATGAGTCAACTCGATTACATATGAAAAGAATTATACTGTCTTTAAGATTAGGTTTAAATATTTATTTCAAATCTTAGACAAATTTAATCTTCAATTTAGTAGCTTTTGAATTAGACTCTCAAATGTATCTCTTGAAAGTTGTGTAGGTTTTGAATTAGTAGATTTCGAAGATAAAGTTAAATTTCAATATGATAACTTTTATTTTATTTTAATATTTTATTTTAAAAATATATATTTATTTAAAATGTTAAATATACTAAAAAATATATATTTTTAAAAAATAGTTTTTAAGTTCGTGAACCATGTGAGCTGAACCTAATGAGATGAACCTAACGAGTCGAACCGAACTGTTCGTGAACTTATAACGAGTCGAGTTTGAACTTAAAAAAAAGTTCGTGTCGAACTCGAACTCGAACTCGAATTCGAATAATTCTTAACGAGTCGAGCCGAGCTGAGGTGAGTTCGACTCGACTCGACTCATTTCCAGCCCTAGTTATAGATTATATTTTGTCATCATAATTTTAAAATTGGTCAAAAATATTTTTTAAGAAAAGTGTGGATTATTGGCGAGTCTTGGAACGTCTTGTTCACGAAAAAACATCAGAAACACAGAAGAAATTCGCAAACCATAGCCACACAAAAACAAGAACAAGATTCACACAGAATCATAACACAAACACTTTTCATCCAATTCAAAAAAAAATGTCTCGTTCTTTGAATCCCTTCGCAACAACTCACTCCGATTCCGGTTCCGATTCTGACGTTGACTCACTGAGTCAATTCGTCACCGACCTCTTCGAAAATCGCTCCTCCGTCGCTCCGGCCTATCCCTGGGATGATGACGATGATGAGGATGATGATGAAGGAGACATAAACCCTTTCTCCGTCTTTGCTCGCGATCAAGGTGAACCGGAGTTAGAATTAGGGTTTGGTGATGAATATGAAAATGAAATTGAAACTCAGTACAACGATAATTATGATGATGTTTTTGATTTTTCAGTCGGTGGTGGTGATTCCACTGGGCTTAGGGTTATTGGATTTGGTTCTGATTCGGAATCGAGTGGTCATGATGAAGAATTTGGTTATGAGGGAAGAAATGATGATGAGGATGATGGGAGGGTTGGTGGATTGTGTTGGGAAAGTTTTCGTTTGGAGGATCATAGGAGTATTTTGAATGATTGGGAGGAAGTGGTGGAAGAGAGGGTGAATGAGATTGAAGATTCTTCTAGTTTGTTGAATGGTGAGGTTGAGGTTGATGTTGATGTTGATGATCAGTCGGTGGCGACTGGATTCGAGGATGATGAAGAGGAACAAGGGGAAGAGGCGTTGCGGTATTTGGAATGGGAGATTCTTTTGGCTTTTAACAATTTCGAGAGGAGTGATGGATTGGAACATGAGGATGATAATATTAATAATTTGTATTTAGCTGTTCAGGAAGGTTTTATTTCGGGAAACACTGATTATGATATTCTTTTCAGTCAGTTATTGGAGAATGAGAGTGGTTTGAAGGGTAGTCCACCGGCGGCCAAGAGTTTCGTGGAGAATCTCCCTTTGGTGGAATTGACAGAGGAGGAGTTGAAAAAGAAGGATGTCACCTGTGCCATTTGTAGAGACGAGGTAATTGCGGAAGAGAAGGTGAGGAAGCTACCTTGCTCACATTATTACCATGGCGATTGTATTTTGCCGTGGTTGAATATTCGCAACACGTGTCCTGTTTGTCGGTTCGAATTGCCAACTGATGATGCGGATTACGAGCAGAGTAAGGCTCATAGAATTGCCAGTGATTTGTTGGATTTTGCAGCATAGATGTAGTTTTTAACTTGTTGCTTTACTTTTAGGTTATTCATTCCCCCAAGTTTATGTAAATAGCAGTTGGTTTTGTCTCGTTTATTCAAATGATGATGAGAACAAATCTTTTGTAATTACTTTTTGTGTTGTGCTGGTTTGAAATAAGGTTTTAGTTTACAGTTTTGTGTGCACTGGATATCCAATATACTCAAGAAATGGATGCTGTCAATACTTAAGTTTATGTTCATAAATGTGAAGTGTCACAAGATGGGTCATTTTTATGGGTCCACAATCATATTGTATAAAATGTTGATCATCTGTATGTCTTAAGTTTAGCTTACCCTTTTTTGTAAGAGTTGCAATCCGAAAGAAAGGGAAAACGAGTTGTAGTTAGCGGAATGGTGTTGTAAGTTTGTAACTTTGTATAAGTTAACATGGTTCTTATTCACTTGGTTTCCCTTTTTTGTGGAAAGGAAGTGTAATTCCATGATTTTCATTCTTATGTTTGCCAAGATTTTTCCTTTTCTTAAGTAATTTGCATTTGGGTTATAGATTTTTCTCTGTTCTCTAATTATTTGAATTTGCATCAGGTTTATATTTTAGTAATGCTTAATCTTTTGTGCATTTGATTTTAGTGAGGTCAGATTAACACTTAATACTGTTTGTTGTCCAATAACTTCTACTTAGGATTCTTACAACAAACAGAAGAAATTGGAGTTAGCTTATATTATGATTTATGAGCCTGTATTGGCAATTATGTGTCTGTTTCTTGTTTGAAATTTGGTGATGAGATGGATGGAGGGTGTTGCCCTCTCTTGTTTATACCAGTGACTTCTTTGATGCAGTTTATTGGGAAGGAATTTGTAATGGTAGTTAATGTGTAGTTTTGTTGCTATAAATTCTTTTGGGGCTTTCGGCAACATACAGAAGTTACTGTTTTTGGGATGCCAAATTGTGGTAGGCTGCTAGAATCTTGTCTTAGCGCATGATTGAGTGTCCTCTTCAACCCTTTACAGAAGACGGTGAGTGATCCCTAATGATGCTGGAAAAAAACACTTATCCTGTTTGTACCCGAAACATTTTGTAGCATCCTGCAATGTAATCTGTTTTTAACCTTCTTATGTTTTGTTTATATGTACAGCTTAAGATCACAGTTTTTACTTGTGAGTTAAATTTTGAGAATTGACATATACTTTGGATATCCATCTAACCTTGAAGGAGAAACACTTTGATATTTACTTGTTTGTTTATTTTACTCTGCAAACTGTGAAAAACACGTTGAGGTACGATTCATTATTATGCTAGATTCAAACTCATGCATGTCAAGTAATTACAGTTAACAAGTCATCAGAAATCGCTGCAAGTGGCCGGAAAAGCTTACTGTCTACACGCGCTTAAGTAGCTTCTTTCCAAAAGGCGACAAGGTACTCTCTCTAAACCACCAGACCATTTTGCTGTTGCCATATGCTTGACAAAATTCTATGAAAGTAAATGCATTACATATACATCACATTCATCAATAGGTCTTTATGTAGACTTTAATGTGGCTAAGACAAGCTTGGACATTGTTAAAATATAGATTTCTTAGTTAAGATATAGATTTTAACTCCATTTGAGAGAGACAATTGGTTTTTCAGCTTATTAGTTTTCATTGAGGCTTAAACTCTTATTCAAAACCTTTACAATATGAATGGTGGTAGGATATTGTTTGTAACACAAGAAATGCCTCAATCATGTGTGTATACAAGCAACCATTTTATGCCATGAATTGTTGTTTGAAGACCTTGTTAGCTGGCCATACGATGCAAAATTAAGAACACTATTTTTTACATTTATATACATTGTTTCGGATAATTTGTGCGGTCTAGATCTGTGCTTTAAAAAATATGAAAGGGGTTTTAACATACTTTGTGGATAGACTTGAAAAACAACTACTCCGTAGAGTGTTGTCAAAATTGGCCATGACCTGATATTGGTGGTGGTTTTTTTGGCACTCTGCCATTGCTGAAATTGTGACGGATGGTAGCGCCATATGTGGATATATATGGCAGATATGGTGGTGCCGGTGTCGGATTTCTGGCTCTCCAAAGGAATAATCTTTTGAAGGTATAATGAACTCCCATCATTATCTTTTATAATCAAAATTTGACTTTTTAAGTTCACTAAATATATGATGCATTTGGACTATATATAGACTAAATACATTTATTATTCAATGAATCTATAATATTAAAATTTGCTTATAAAAAAGAATGGAAGGAGTATGAGATAATTAGCAACTCTTCTTCCAACAAATGCAACTACATTTTCAAACAGTAAGATGACTTTGAATATAATTAAATGACTCAAACTAGTAGTCACTCAAACTTGATAATTTTTCTTAGAGCATCTTTAGTGCAGGTTCTGTAGTATTAAATTCTTTAATAGTAATGGTAGTTATGAGCAATTTGCATTGAAATAAGAATGACATTGCAGTAAGTGAACTAACAATTAGTGGGAGTAAATTATATAACCAACACACATTATCCATTCTCAATGACTCTTATTATTATTTTATTATTGTTTTATATTATTAAAATATCAATAAAGCTCCAACAACTGTAAAATGTGGGGTCAAGTTTTAGTTTTTTACAAACAACCATCATTAAAGTAAAAACAACTCAAATTAACTATAAATATTTTAAATCTTACAAATCACTTTGGGCCTACAAAAAGTATCTTAGTTTACCTATTTAATTTACTCTCATTAAAGATACTCTTAGAATTAAGTAGTAACTTTTCAAAACTAAAACCAGGGTTCGCATCTAGTGGTGAAAACTTGGGTCTCGAGAATACTCTTAAGTTTTCAGATTTAAATTTTTTATTAGATGCAAACAATTTATGTGTTGGATTAGCTTTACTTTGGCTTTGAACGAAGTATTCTTAAATTAGTCAGACGTAAGATTGGACATCAAGATTAAATTTTTTTTGATTTAGTAACAATTGAATTCAAAGTGAAGTTATGTATCTTTTCATGTGTGTTTGACAAAAAAAATTCAGCTTACACTTTTAGTATATAGCAAAACTTTATTTATTTATTTATTATTGTCCGGAGTGATAAAACAACTGGATTTGGAATAGAATTTATTGTAAATTTTTTGTCAGGAAACTAAAGTAAAAGTCAAATAATTTTGGTTGCTAGTAATTTGGTGGATAGAAATCAATATTGCAAATCATATTAAAATGGATAGCTAGTGATGATTTTACTCAATCATTCCAACCTTTTTGCTAAAAACTTGCAACTACTAGTGTGCATCCGTATATAACAGTCAAAAGTTAGAAGAGAATCAAAAGATCAACTAATATTCTAATCGTAGTATAAAATTAAACTTTGTAAAAATTTAAATTTGATTTGATTTAAAATTTATAAAGTTAAAAGAGAATCAAAAGATCAACACATATTTTAATTGTACTATTATAGATAAGAATAGGCCAAGTTAAATTGACTTTAAAAAACTTAAATTTGATTTTATTTAAAAATTATTAAGTTAAAAGAGAATCAAAAGATCACATATATTTGAATTGTACTATCAAAGATGAGAATAGGCGAGTTAAGTTAAAATTTATAAAGTTAAAATTTGATTTGATTTAAATTCTATAAACTCAAGGTTGACATGTAATTTATTATTGATTTGGTTTTATTTTTAAATCTAACCATTTTAAAATTTTGATTTGGTCTTCCATCCCTCTAAAAAGTTTATTTTTACTAACGTATTCAAATAAAGTCTAATATATTTTTAAATGAATTATTGAGCTAATAAATTAATGAGATTAAATTTTATTTTAATATTAAAAATCGTAGAGAACCGTATTATATTATATTATACGTCCAAGTACAGAAGAGGCTCACAATAGCATAAGAGGTATTAAATACGAATTCTGAACAAGATAAACAAAAGTAACCACCTCTCACAATGCCACAAGAAGAACTAAATACAAACTCTTAAAAAGATAAACAAAAGTAACCAACAATTTATTGGGGAGATTTTATTAGGAAGTACCGAATATTGTGAGACTTTTTTCTAGAACAATATCTTTATGAGGGGCACACCACATACTCACTCAAAATCTTAAGATTATAGGTGGGGAGCATTCTAAACGGTAGGACATCCTTCTAACCACCACCTATGGGGGATATTTTCGATTTCCTTCACATACTTGTGAGGGGGAGATTTGTTGGGTTTGGACTCCCTTTCTATGTGGAGAAAGACTCAAATATGATTAGCCTATTTGTCTCACTTATTTAAGTGGAGATAATTAATTTAGGGTTGAGAGAGATAGAGAAAAAAAATAAGGATTCAAAAAAGAGAAAAGAGGAGACAGACTCATTCCCGTTTTTGTGCAACCAGTCTCACTAAATTGACGATCCCCGATTTGTTAGCCATTGAATCGAGCTCAAATTTGGTGGGCAGGTTTGTAACACATATATCTAACTTTTGACCGTTCAAAATTTTAAAACGTCTGAGGTGAAAGTTATTTGCTTCGCACTGAAGTTGTAGATTTGGAAACGTTTTCCAGCTTTTGATTCTTATTTGTAAACTAGTTTGCTTTGTGATTTGTGATTTGCGGTTGTAAGTACTAGTTTGTGAATCACTTTAAGATTCTCTTATACCCTTAATTGATTATAGTGGAGTTATTTCTTTGGTCTAGACGACTCGTAGTTTTTACTCTCATATTGAGGGGGTTTCCACATTAAAAATGTCGGTGTTCTTTTGTGCCTTTATTTGTTCGATTTTTCGCCTTATATTTGTTTTTGATCCTCAAGATTCCTATAAGTTTGGGGGAGTTTTATATCTGTTGAATATTGGTCTATTATTGTGTCTTAATTTTTCATCATAGCTCTTGGTTAAGGATAATTTTACTTGTTTGAATGATGGAGTCAAATATAAAGATGAAGATGATATTGTTGAATGTTTCTAATTATCATTTATGGAAGGGTAAGATAAAACACTTACTATTTGTGAAGAAATTGTATTTAT